TTTCCAGACATTCAGTTTAATTTAAAAATACAGGGGAACCGATTAATGTGGTCACCAACGGGCCATGAAAATTTGGCCGTCAGTTATGGGGTGGCCGTTTTAACGGGGCAGGGTCAAATTTCATGACTGATCTAAATTGAATGAATTCTTCACAGGTATATCAAAATTGCATTTCTAAGCAACTGTTCTTTCATAAGCATCCAGAATGCAGATATGATTAAAGAAAATTGAAACTTTAAAGGGGCTAGGTCACGCTATTTTAGGTAATTTTGTTTCACTTTGTTAATTATGAGCTCTAAATGTCAAATTGGCAGAGCAAAAGTCTTTCAATTGGAAAATCACGGCCACATAACAACTGAGAATGATTTTCCAGCTGTGTAAATGACATTTATAAATTTGAAAAAAGGTGGGCCGACGTTTTTCAAATTTACCCAAATGCAATCCATTTTAATCCTCTCCAGTTTTGTCCATCCATGTCCCTTCTTGGCTTTCCTGTATTTTGTTTGAGATCTTCTATAGTTTTGAGCCGTTTTTGTGATATTTTAATTAATTCTATGACCATTTGATCAGTGCTGAAATTGCCTAAAATTGCGTGACCTGGCCCCTTTGATCACTTTTCCAATATTAACAATGGAAAGTTGAACATAACTGGTTTGAGTGGCCGTATAAACGGGGTGGCCGCATTAACGGGGTTCCCTTATAGGAAAATGTATGGGTATTTCGCCAGGACAAAAAACTTTGCCGTAATAGCAAGGTGACCGTAAGGCGGAGTTCCACTGTACAGCTGAAAACAGCATTGCTTGTACTCACGACACACTTAGCAGATAATTTATCTCAGTTTGTCACTTCACTGTCAAAGGAACATTCCTAGGCCTAACATGGGTTCTACATTCCCTGTAGCCCAAGAGTCGGCAGTTTCAAAGAAGAAAAAAAAGTTGTACGATGTATTCACAATCAGTCTCCAAACATTCAACGTTATTTCATGTAAGAGGAAGATGGAAGACGGCATCACTTGTTTGCACGATACACAGAGTTGATAATGTTTTATCGCGCTTCACTGGCAAAGGAACATTTTGAGGGAGAGATGCCAAACTATATATACGCCTGTAACACGGCGAAATTCCGATGGGAGGTTAAGACAGATGATAGACCAACCCTCATGTAATAATCTGGTCCACCACTTCAACCCGTAACTTGCTTACACATTCACGGGTTAAAAAGTAATGAAAATAAACTACTTGTCTGAAAGGTAATGCATGTTGCAGGTAATATCTCCTTCACACAAACTGCCTTGAGGTGAAAAAGGCTTCTTTACTGATACTTTACTTAATCTAACTCTGCAGCTAGCCAGTTCAAAATAAGCTAGGTGCTAAGCAATTGACACTTTCAGGTAAGAATTTGAGAGCGAACTTTTATATTATTGTTTGAAAAATTAATTGATCATAATGACAACTTGTCAATGAACACAAAACCAAAGTAGACCAAAGTTAGATATTTTACAAAAAGTAACGAGGGCATAGTGCTTTTCTGGAAAGCTTTTGTGTTGTGAAGAATATGTCATTCACATAAACCGTTTCCCAACCACAAAATGTTTCAATGTTTCTTATGAAAAATAAAAACATCACAAACATTTTTGTCTCCAGAAAAAAAGCAAATATTGCGTGTAGTGTAAGGGCAACTGTTTCGTCGATCGACAACATTTCCATGGTTTGTAGGGAACTTTATACATAAAGACAGCTTTTAGTGGGAGGACAGCTTTTAGTTGACCACGGAACGCTTCCCCATTCAGAGTACTTTTTATATTGAGTTCCTTCGAGGGTGGGCCACTAGATTATTTAAGGGAGAGGGGAGGACAAATCTCTCATAAAAATTATCACTTCCCTGGAATAGACTGGTGACGCCCTGGAATAGACTGGTGACGCCTTGGACAAACCAGAGAGCCTTAATATTCTTTTTGGAATCACGCCAAGGAACCATTTTTTTGTAGCATTTTGGGAACTTTGTATAAGCCGTGTTCTGCTGAACTAACCCCTTGTTGCTTTGGAACAATCGTCGGTCGGCCATTCCTGCTGAAGGCTCTTGAGTCATAATGCATCACACTACCATAGTCATATGGAGTTCCCAAGGAATCGATGGTTGAACGGCCGTATTTGTTGAAATTGTACTCCATACCTGCAAAATAGTTAATTTCTTAACTTGGCTAGGAACACATCAACGGTTAATGATGACAGAGACGTTAATGTATAATGTGGTGTTTCGCGCTGGTAGACTTAGTAGATCATACGACAGCAAGAATCGCAAACTCTACAAGCGGTTTTAGATCGCTTTTGAGTTTCTAACCAAAAAAAATGTAAAGCCTGTTTAGGGTTGGTTTTTCTCATTGTCCTTCAACATGCAAGAATGCTAAGAGAACTGAACCGGAGTAGGAGTTATTGCTCTTACATCTCTTTGAATAACTGTGTATTTTATATTTGCCAGTTTTATATACATTGTCGACTTGAACTTTTCACCAAACACGTTAGCAGTTCCCACACCTGAAATGCACTGGGTACGACATGGGAATTTGTTGCCCTGCAATTGTTGGATAGATAGATTATTTTCTTCAAGAAAATAATCTATCTATCCAACAATTGCAACAAAAAACAGCAAAAAACCCTGTTGGCCGTGTAGAAGTTCTACACGGCCAACAGGGTTTTTTGCTGTTTTGGTATCTCTATAATGTGTAAAAAGGTATTCTAAGAAAAAAAAATGGATTCCAACATTTTAACGCCCAAAGATCTAACTTTAAAGTTCCCCAGCCACGCCCAATGAAGTTGACCGTGAGTCAGTGCAAAAAGAGTCTGGGTTTCTGAATGGGCAGTGACGTCAAGTCAGGAATTGCCAAATCATGCTGGTTCAGGTCACTGTTGTTTCAGTTGTGGTTAAGAGTTTTCGTTGACAAAAAGCAAACAAACCGAAGTTGGTGAAACAATGCGGACGTCAATCAAGCAAAATAAAAACAGGAAACTTTGAGATGTTCCTGAAGTGACGTCATTTATCACCAATCTTTCATTACGCGGTCAACGTCATTGGGCGTGGTCGAAGCGGGAAATTTAAAGCTTCATTTCATGGCAAAAATGCACCGGAATTAATTTTTCTTTTGGTTTGAATACATTTTTAGATGTTATAGAGATACCAAAACCACAAAAACCATGTTGACCTTATAGACACTTTAAGATAGATCAATAGACGCATAGTTTCTTTTTGAAAAATTTAAAATAGGCCAAATACTGTGTGGAGGCTTTTAAATGTTAACAATTTTTGTCAGGGCATAAAAGGGTCATAAAAAGACTTCTTTTGTACTTAGAAATATTAAAATCAGGCTGGCAAAACAAAAACAAAGCCATCTTGGCATAACTTAGAGATGAGTTCAAATGGCATTATCGTTGCTGTACCTCGTTGAATGTTCTGTCGATAAATGATGACGTAATCATCTCTGTCAGGCCTGGATTGTTCGTGGTAAAACCCAAGTGCGTGACCTAGATAACATAAAGAAAGCAAACAACAAAGGCAAACATTTTAAATCGAAGAAGTCTAGAACTAAGCATTGACTAAAAAGAGGTCAAGTTATGCTGTTTCAATATGGTCGTTTTCATATATCACAAAAATACATTTATGTTCAAGTCCTTTAACTTCTAGTCTCGGGAGCAGATTCACATCCACTCCATTGCTAAACATCGGCGATTACCAAGCAATTCAAAGAATAACAACCCACTGACGACGGGGATATTAGCCTCATCAAACCGGAGAACGCCAAAGGAGGTTTTCCTGTTACAAGCTATGTGAGACCATGCAACTTTGTTTAAAAAAAAAAACCCTCATCCAAATCTGAACACGTGCCATCACATGATAAAATAGCACACCAACTAGTTTGCAGGTATTCCACATAAATTACAATTAAAAGTAAATATTATAATCTACTACGAGTAAAACTTTTAAAAAAGTATGAGTCAGGATCAAAAAATACCATCTAAAATAATTACACTATGTTAAAAAGTAAAAACGTTGATCATATGTACAATCAAAAGGCCCCAAAGATCAATTTTCTTGACACTGTTTTTGAAGGCCTCAGAAGTTTTAAAAGCTCTGTGTGAATCTGATAGCAGATTCCACAGCCTTAGTTCTATGTAACGCCACGATTTCAGCCCGTGGGTTGTGGTGTTGACCTTGGGCAGTTCAAGTGAGTGCGTTTTAGTCTATCACCAAATTAATATTATAACCAGTTTCGACCTGGTCCAGGCCTAAACTAGAGCAGGTAAAGCATCGTCCATTCCGAAAGGCTTGGTTATATGGCATCGACCGTCTACGAAAGGGAAATCAGCCTCGGTGAAGAGTGACCTCTTTTGCTCAAATAAACACTCTGTAAACTTGCATCGGAGGAGATGGTTGTCTCCGGTCCCACATTCGTATTATGGTGCAGGAAAGGATTCACGCATGCAGCCGATAAAACTTACCAATCTCGTGAGCCACAATTCCATTAGTCCAACATCCTGAGGCAAGTGTGATAGCCTGCCTTCGTCCTGTCTGCCCTACCATTGATGAGCACCTACAAAGAATCATGACAAATAATTTTAAAATTTGACCCCAGTATGATGTCAAATCGCCTTTGCATTGTTTGCGTTGATTTGATATCTACGATTCTAAAAAATCTTACGTTACTCCACCAATCAAGCATTCGTCAATTTTCCTCCTTTATTCTTAGTCTTTTTGTGATATTCATGTCGGTGGTTTAGTCATGACAATGAAAGTAGACCTACCCTCCTCCAGTTTGAAAATTGGCATAACTTCTTTCGTTCCCCCTTCTTTCTCTGAACCTAATACAGGTGTTGTCAGACCACATTTTCATTCCAGCTCGAATAGCGTTCATTGCTCGAGAACTCCTACCTGTGCAGGAAAAGACGAAAAGAAACATGGTCACCAGTTTCATTCTGCTAAAGGAATTTTGTATCTTGAATGCTTTTACAAATTAGTTAAAATTTTTCTAGCTCCAATTATGTGAAGTATTAAGGTTTTCATATGGAGCATCGTCTTTGTTTCCGTAGGTCGGGTCAGCACAAGGGTGCTTGACTGAATTTGATTTTCTTTGAAAACTAGAAGTCAAGTAGCCTCCGACAAAAAAAAAAACATTCGCACAGAATTGCTCGATCCATTTTTTATATTGTTCAGCAGCTTTCCAAAGGATTTCAAAGCGATGTGCTGTGAAACCATCAGGCCCAACAGTTAAGATGCTAACAGGTTCGCTCGATCGATTTTTTAACAAACTTTTTTTTCATTTAATTCGAGTTTGCTAAAAGTGACTTTTTACGATATTATGTGGGTCAGTTTTGCGAAGTACGAATGAAGTACCTTCCAATATGAAGGAAATCTCAAAATATTAACTACACCTAAAAGCAACGCCACAAAGATAAGCCATCAATTACGGAGGAGGGGTAAGAACTGTGCTTTTTTAAAAAATGTCGAATTTATAACTTACGCAAACTACTGGAAATTTCATAGACCAAAACTCCTCCTCTCCACAAGCCCCTTCTGATCGAGCCCCGAGAAGCTGGTGCGTCCACGTCCTGACCTGCTTCCGCAGCCGCCCTTTGTTCATGAGTCAGGATCATGTCGCCTTCAAACAGATTGGAATCTCCAAGTCCTCTGTTCTCTAAGTATAACAAAGCAAGTATCTTTTTCTGCCCAACGTGCTAAAGTTTTTTACCCGATCGTCTGCCAGTCGTAAGCGTAAAGTAAGTGGATGCTGGAATCGTATTTACAGTGGAGGATGAATCGAATAGTTTGAAATACAAGCTAAGAACAGGAAAGCTGTGAAATACTGCCTTGAATTAATAATTGAACGAAAAAAATGAAACAAAACAACACCAAATATAACAAAATTGGAGAAGACAAACATAATTACCAAAACTACAGAATTCGTGCGAACTGGTGATTAGTGTAAACGGTGTGGAACGTTTTCTTACGAATACCGCAATTTAGTGAGTGGGTTAGAGGCTAAGCTCTGAGCATATTGACATTGATGTGACATGATTTACGGTAACACAATAAAGGTAAAGGCGATGTCCGCTCTCTGGTCACACACCTATACCGAAGCTTGTCCCAGTTACAGACAGGACCCCATTCAGTTTAGTCCAACATTTTGTCGTGTTTCCTTAACAGTTTCTACCGTTTCTAAATGGGAACGATCGCGCTATAAGAATAAAGCGAAAGCAGAACGCATCACACCAGCCTTGCTGACCAGCCCACAATCGCGGACCGCTCCATTCAGAGCCCAGCATGTTAACTGTTAGGTGACGGCCGTGCCTCCCTCATTGCAGTACAATACTAGCCATTAACTTAGTCGTTCATACCTTCTGGGTTATAACTCAAGACCCTACCCAAACACGCAACAACAATGAACAGAAACATTTTCACAGCGAAGTGAAGACCAATTGACTGTCTTTATTTTATATCACATGAAGCACTTTAAACCCAAACACCTGCCTTTATTTTGTTAGCACAGACGCGGAAGACCTTGTTTCAGGAGGAAAAGCTGAAAAAAATCACTTCTGCTAGAAACAATGGGAAACGTGATGCAATACAAATAGAATATGCACGCTATTTACTGAGAAGAGAGCGGTTATTTACAAACGATGTGAAACATGAGCTCAGCTTTATCAAAAATACCCTTATACGTGAAACTTCCAGCTTCCTTGAAATTAGTTTGGACATTGCAAAAACAACTCCGACAATTGTTTCTTCAATTTACCCTGTATTACCTTGTATTCGCAGACGGTTTTGTTTATGATCGTTTGTCCTTTTATTCCTGCAAGGGGACATATGAACTCACAATAGGTCTGCTCCAAATTTGTGAGGCTTTTCATGGCACAGGTCTTAGAGGATGGCTCCGGTCGAATAAAGCAAAGTAAAATCGCGTTTTAGCCCTAAATACGTGAATTTTCAGGCCTTTTTGCACTAGCATCTTTCAGGCATTTAGTTAGTGGGGCGCAGCACAAAACGCGAAAAAAATAGCGTGGCGCAGGCAGGCGTTCGTTGGCGGCTTGCTCCTCGCACCAAACCTCACGCTCCTTTTTTTCGATTAGCTCACCGTTTTTTTTTTTTTGTTTTTTTTTGCACTGAAACCCAATTGACTGAACGTTTGCTGGAAGAAACTAATTTGTAATTGCTTTATTTGCCAACTGCCCACTTATTCCGCGATTACTTATCGAATCATATTCGTGTGCTGCTGAAACAATGGAAGCTATGCAATTTCTCCTTTCGGAAATAAAGAGTTCAATTATAATGTTTTTTATTTTATTTGGACTAGGCCATGTTATAAAGTTCCAGAAGTTTTTGTTGGCGTACGAACAAACCTTGACATAAAAGTGCATAAAAAGTAGCCTTGTGTCTGCATTCCCCACGTACGAGATGATAGGGTTTGAGGGGGTTAATTCATTACGTTTTTTCTTAGTGCTTAAAGTTAAAAACAAATTTACAAGTCTTGCGCATGGGTGGTTTCCATTGTAACTAAATTGTTAGTCTCTATTCATTGTATGTTTGTTTCTGGCAGAAAGTTTCCATTCCATAACGGCTGAAATTAGTCTTAAAACTGAGTCAGTCGTTTGCTCGTCCCTCAACGTAAGGGCTACTCCGTCCACAGACTCTCTATTTTGTTTCGAGTTCAGTCGTCGACATCGTATGCTAAATATTAACCACAGGGGATAGGAACAAGCCAAAACGCAAGGGAGTGGACGTGGGACTTGGGAAAGTAAGAGAAAGAAAATAGAGGGATGGTTAATATTTTTTTCGCCCGCTTCGCGGTCGCTCTCGCGCTCCGCGCTTCGAGTAAATAACTCACAGGAAAAAAAGATAAATAAATAAAAAAAATAAACCACGTCTGTGGAAAGACTAGATCTTCATTTTGTTGTCACTGTTTTGTTGTTGATGGGAAACTTGGGAATAGAAATAATATCCATCTCGTGGATTTCCACGATATACATTTAACCGATATGTGGCTTTTCCAAACAGAATATCTTGATCCCTCATGTCATTTTACTTTTCTTGACCATTAAATGTGATGGAAAAGTAAGCAGAATTCCAGTAATGCGTCTTTTTCATATACTTAATTTTTACTCCTGTTTGATCTTTGTCGCAACATCATGTTTAGAATTTATAATAAGTGGCTTATGATCACGCTATCATGAATAGTCATGCCCGGCCACAACGTTCGAAAGAATAGGAAAACGTGAAAAGGAACATTTCATCAGAAGGTTCAGTATATCCTTCGAATGAACAAAATTGGGCAAGACTGTTGTAATATATTGCAAAGTTCACTGATCATTTCAGTAGTTCGACATGAAAATAAGCATGCTCTATATAAGAATTCTATATAACGTTCTTGGTGCTTAAGATTTCTATAGTTTTTTGATATTACCCCGATTAATATCAATCGGCACTGACACTACTAAATCGCTATTACTCTCTGCGTCCATTATATTGTGACGGGAAAATTTAAAAAAAGCTGGTACTTTTATGTCGCGACCTGGTCACGACCTTGCGCCGAATCATTCAGTTACTGTTGTTTTAGTAACTGTTAAGACGCGAGATGGCCCAAGGAGAGAGGCTTTCTATTTCGTTTTAAAAATCACCTCATTTACTTTGTTCAAAGGTTTAACGTTGTTGCTTCGTCCTTCCAATAGCATTCAACTTGATAACCTGCGATCTTAAGGACGGTGCCTACTTTTGTTAGTGCGCACACTTTCTGCGCATCTCGCAAGGCATGGTTTAAGCGCCACGCGCGCGCTGGGGTTGACATTGACGCAATCAACTACGCTATTAATTACATGACTAAAATGAAAGCAAAATTTTCCTACTGTGCCCAAATCAAGTTTAATGAACCTGTACTTAAACCAGGAACACCAGAATAGTAGCATATCGCTAACCAGTAACTGTTAACGTCTCCCAGCTGAAAAACTAGCTGTTATCTGTCGAAAATTATACTGAAATCAAACTGTAAACATGTACCTGCAGATGGCGTAGTGCGCGCGCAAAACACGTGCGAGATACGGAAATGTTTTACTCACTGGGGAGGTGACAGGGGAAAATGTAACGGGCACCGTAAAAGTTCTTTTTTTTTAAACTTTAAAAAACTCGTGGTTACCCCTACTTTTTATGTTGTGAAATGGAAGTGGCAAGCCTATTCAACACGTGATTAGTTTATGGTTGTGAGCAGAAGCTATCTAGACTGTATTTTAGCTGAACCAGAGGAAGGCTGTCAGAGACGCTAAAAGCGCTGTTGCAACGATTTTGTTATTAAAAACATACCAAAAATGGTTTTTATGTAACCATTTATCATTAAGTTTTAAGATCTTTATAAATATGCTTGCTTTTCTGTATGCAAAGGCGAATTCCAAGAAAATCTGTGAAGCAATATCCTTTCCTTCTTTTTCAGAAAAATGCTGATGTCAGCATTTTTGTTGAGATTCAAGACTTCTTATCTCGAAAAAAGGCATGGCTACCCCAGTTTTTCTTTGTGGATTCCAATAGCCCTTGTAAAGATCCATTTTCTTCCGCATGGTCCTAACCTGGCGCAAAAACCTTTATATTTAGTAGGCACCGTCCTTAAGTACTCTCAATGAACGCTGAAAAATAAGCCCGATAGCATAATTATGTGCGACACTCCTTTATTTACTAATCATGACTACATCGGGTTTTAAGCTTAAAGTTAATCATTTCCTCATCATTTTACAATTCTTTGAGAAGTGCATGTGTTCCCTGGCCAACCTAAAAAAAGGTATAAAGATAAGGGTTTTGGTTGGCTTAAGAACACGAAATCAACTGCAGTTGGCTTAAAGTGTTAAGGGGTTCAAAATTAGGGCGATCTTCTTAAGGCTGTCTAACATTGAACAATTACTCCTAACGACTTGGCTGCAATTAGCTAAAGTATAAAGAACAATGATTGTGATTTTTGGATGCTTTGGTAACATCATAAAGCAGTGATCAACACAGCGTCAAGATCCGCCTTATCCTTCATCATCTCTTGACGGCGTCTA